ATAATTGATTGAGTTATTCTATTGATATTTCTTCCTGGACTTGGTAATCCATGGACTTCTGCATAATTTTTTAGAAAATTTTTTACTATTTCTGCAACATTTTTATCAATCACTGTTTTAGTTTTCCATTGAGGCATTCTTTTAATATTACCATGAATTCTTGGTAAAAGGCCATTGTTTATCAAATGATTTCTAATGTTTTCAAAGTTCTACCAATCCCTACATATTGAGATAAGTTTCTTGACAAAGAAGCGTATTGTGATCCCAATGGTAGAAAGTTCTTTATTAGATCTAATTTTCTTTTTAAGGCGTCTGCTGGTGCTTATTGATCCACCATCCATTGCCTTAAGTTGGGCCATTAAAAATATGTCTTGCTCTGTTTTTGAGAGAGCTTGAAAAGATTCTCTTAATTCTGCAAATTGTTCTTTGGGGATTCTTAAAGAACAACCACATTTACAACCTTTTTCTAAAAAATCAATTGCTTTTTGATATTCATTAGAACCATTATTTTCATTATTAATCTTCATATACACTTATCCCTATATATATAATTTATGTTCACTTTGTAGGTTTTCCTTCAAATGCTGTAAAATTGTTACAGTGCGGATCATCTATACTCAAAAGTCAAAAATTTTGAAATATTATGTGATCCACACATTGGATTTTTAAAAAAACCACCACCATTCAATTCAACTTTAAAAGGGTGTCTATAAATCTAAAAAAAAAAATTTGTCTCAAATTTTCTTTTCATAGATTTTTTAAATTTGAAAGTTATGCTCAGAAGTGTGTCACTGATTAAATTTGGGAGAGCATATTTTAATGGGTGATAACAATTATTTTTGTTTTGCGTGGATCAGAATGAATAGGGGATCAATGAATTGATTTTGTTATTAGCGAATAATTTTGTTTAAAGAAGATAAAAGTTTTAAATAAAATAAAATATTTATTATTTTATTTATTTAGTTTTCTTAGTTGAAACTAATTAATTTATTTACAAGTTACTTTTACATTAGGTCGAAATTGAGTTCTTTATATACAGTTCAATTAATTATAAATTCTAATTTCCCAAAATTGTGAGGATATCCCAATATTGCGACGATTTCCCAATATTGGGAGGATATCCCAAGACAATACTTTCTTAAATAAGTTAAATAAATTACGATGTTATACAAATAATTAAAAATAATAAAAATAAAATAATATGAAAATAAAAATAAAACGTATTACGAAAATAGATGTAATACGGGATAAAATAATATTAAATTAATAAAATAAGGTGATAAAAATAGAAATAAATAAAATATAATAATAAAAATTAAGAATTTCGGAATTAGTCAAATTCGGCCAAAAGAGCATCCAAATCTAATTCCAGTAACAAGTGCAACAATAATTTTCGCGTTACAATATTTTGAATCTCACGACCAAATTTGGTAACGATTTTCTTTTAATGTAATATGTTCGTTAATTGACGATCTGCGAATAAATCGAAGAGTCTTACATAGTGATCAGCAGAGGATAATTGACACAAAAATGACCAATTGAGTACCTTTGCATGAAAAATTGTTCCACTACATAAATTTTTTTTAGCATGCAGATAAAACATAACTCAGAAAACATATTAATATATTTTATTTTACCAATGAAAAAAGTTTACTCTTTAGCACTTGTGGATTGTTGGAAATTTTTATATAGAAAATTTTGTTTTTTTTTATGCGTAATGTTCATTTTTAACAAGAGAAAATAGTAATAGTAATAGTTTTATTATTATTGAATCTTAATTGCATTTACAATAATAAAAAATTCTTTTTTTTATATATATAGTTCACTCTATAACAGACCATTTGACTTAGTATTAGTATTAGTATTAATATAACTAGGAAAAAATGTTTATCATAGATAATCCGTTATCAGCAATAATAATTTATATGTTAATATATTAATATTGGACATATAGGTCAGGCTTAATATTAATATCAATATTCTCAGTATGTTACAGAGGATCCATTATTATTAGAGAGTGTGAGTGGACTCTATAATAAATATTCTTAAAGGTAAAGGTTTAATGAATTCAAAAATCATGGATTATCAATTAAATTTATTGTTAAAAACATTATACATGTGAAGTTAATATTAATATTATTTTTTTTACATTAATTATCCATATTAGCATTCTTAACTGCTTGTTTTTTATGATTTTGATTAAATCTAAATATCCATTATTTGATTTGTTGGAGAGAAGGGATTTTTCAATTACGTTTAAATCAAGCCTTTTTACCACCACTTTTTTCCCAAATTTTTGTTTACTTTTTAAAGCAAATCGTGGTATGAATTTTTCATACAATAAATTTAAGTCATTATCATCTATTGACAATGATATCTATTGGTTCAAAATTAGTAATGGGTTTGATAACGATTATAAAAGTTTTATTGTTATTGTGTAATGGCATTTTTAGATTTTTATTTTTTGAAAATTTTATATAAATTTCCTCTGTATTTTTATAATAAATTGATTGACATTTCTCTGATTTATAGACGGATCATCAATTAAACTTTTTGTTGTAAATAACTTTTATTTATTAATAAAAAAAAGGAAATAAACAAATCAAATAAATCAAATGTATGTTGTAGAAAATATTCTATGAAAAAAATGTTGTTACACGAAATTTATTTAGTCTCAATTTCTTAAGTGTACAACAAAATTCAGAATTTTCAAAATTCTAAGGCTCAGCCAATTTTCAGTTTAAGAAAAAACCAGCTGATAAGTTTTGAAGCTTGAGTTATGAACAATAAAACTTATCAGTTAAATTTTTTAAAATGATATATTTTTTTTTTGTTTTAGTATTTTGAAGTTGACCAATTGTCATTATAAACAATTAATGATTATAGATGATCTGCACCATATATAAACTCAAACACATTAAATTAAGTAATGCAAAATAATTATCAATATTTATTTTATATAAATTCATTAAATTCCTAAATCATTATCTTCTATATAGAAGAAATATCTTAATCAATCAATATTACAAAAAATGATAATACAAATCTAATTATTATTTTTAAAAGAACAGTTTAGATTCATTAAAATTCATTAAATTGCTAAAATAATCTAAAATCATTAAATCTAATTTTTAAAAAGTACTAAATATGTGTTTGGATTAAAAGAATAGACAATTTGCAAGCCTCTTTTGTTTGATATAAGATCACCTTATTGAATCATACTTTTTTTAATTCTGTATTTAGCATGTACAAATCATGGTCTAGTAGGATTTTCTCTCCAACATTTACATCAGGATGCCATACATCAATCTCTTGATTCAGGAGGGGTGGATAGACAACTTCCCTTATCTTGCCACACCAATCAAAATCTATTATCTTTATTGAATTATCAGGACCAACCAAGATGTTTGAAAGCCTCATATCTCCATGCACAAAGCCCAAAACATGTATTTTTTTTATTGACTCCATCAGGAAACTTTTCCTGCCATAATATTACATCCGTAAGTTTTAATATGAAATGTCATAATATTACACATAAAAAGGACATAATATTTACACTGAATGTAATAATTGCGTAATTTTTGTGTAATTTTTGCATAATATTACACTATTTACATAAGTTTATGGCAGGCCCTGTAATATTACACAAATTTGTGTCAGAAAAAATTTCCTGATGTCTATCACCTTATTCAGCATTGACACTAAGAACTCTTTGTCCTGAGCAAGATAAAACAATGAATTGTGTTCCATTAGTTGTTCCATAATTACAACATACCATCCACCAGCAATCTGTTCACAGAAAAACAATTTTGGTGCAATTCCCAATGCTTGGCATTATTTGTGACATGCCTCTGAATATCTCTTAGCAAACTTGATAATCACATGTTGAGATGATCCATTATTGTATTTCATTATTGCTTGAAAAACGTAGTGATTTTCTACCCTTTTAACATAGGTGATATTGGCAATAGACTCTCCAATATTTGCTTTGTTGAAACATGGGAAGGATGGCTGATGAGTTCTAATTATTTCGCTGTGTTGGCTTAGCTGATCATAAAATGTTTCCAAGTTGATAAGGGCCATTTTCAAAGCCTTGACCACATAAGCAGTCTCCAATATTATTTTTTCATGGTGAGGGAGATAGAAGAGGGGCATCACAGGTGTAAGGGGTTCACATACTGGCTTTCCCATAAATACAGCTCCAGCTACACCCATGTATGGCCCTGCAAAGTTAAATAGAATTGTTCAGAAAGAAGAAAGGTGAATACATATACAATATGAGATAATTGAATTGATAGAGGTGTTGATGCTAGATATACATTTGAGTGAAAAAAATTGCTATCCATACATACCTACTAGGTACACCAAGAATACTGGAAATTGAGATTGAGAAATTGCAGGGCTATTTGTAAATTTCTTGATAAATTCTACATAGTAAACAGTTGACTGCACATATGCACACCCATTTCCCATTCCAATCTCTGGCTTCACCTCTAAGTTCAACAGAGGCACTTGAAAGTTTCCTTTGGTAAACATAATGCTACCATCTGTTGTTTGATTATTTCCAAAATTATAGATGTCAAACACTCTGTTGAGATATGAACTCATTAGTTTATGAAAGCAATTTCTCCTTGCATTCTCATCTGGGAAAAATGAACACATCTTATTTGAGAGCTCACAAACAAATATAATATCAAATTTGTTCAGCTCAATGCCCTTGGCATCATCCTGAAACTTTGCTAGGATGTCACTGCAGAGTGTTACAGGCAGACCAGCTGCAGAAGATGGACGGTAGTTTAGGATGAAGGGATCCTTTTCATCTTGGTAATCCTTAAATTTTCTAGTATCAGCTAACTCAGATGGAGGAGGATAGAATTGTTGGATTTTTTTGAAGAAATGACTTCTTTCTTCAGTCAAGTCCTTATCACTAGCACTTCTTTTTTTACCTTGATTTGATAATATGAATGAAACAGGAAAATAAGATTTTTATATAATTCAATGATTTTGATAAGTTACCTTTATCTTTTGTTTCATGAAAAATATTAATAACTTTGTGAAATGGATAAATTATACCAAAATGCAAGATGTAACAACAAAAACATACCTGTTTAATAGGAAACTAATATTAGAAAAGCATAGTGGAATTTTGTTTTTGATCGACATTCGAAATTATCACGTTACACGACCTACACAATCTTTATTATACGGAAAATACAAAATAATTTAA